AGTTACTCACAAGATTTATTGAGATTAGTCTTGTAGACTTTTTGAATATATTTTCATATTATCACTCACTTTAGGAAACCAAACATTGTTAATTGGTCAATGAAACCCCCAATGATAAAGTTAACATTTCTCTTCATCTCAATAATATTTGAAAAGATCTCCTTATGTCCTTATTGTACTTAAATTGTTTAAGTAGCATATAATTTTATTTACTAGGTTCGAGTTCCAGAGTGAACATCAACTTTGAGATCCAGGTACATCCAGATGATGAGTCGCAAATAGAACGAAACGTGCGTCAAACTGGACTCCACTGTTAGCCACTATCCATCTTTCCTTATAATGCTTGTAAATCAAGGCAATATCGAGGTAATACGCACAGTATGCACATACATCAATAAGAGACTGATCAATTTCAGTCCTAAACATCAATGGGAAGATTCAAGTAAAACAATAACCAAGTGAATTAATAATCTTGACTATTCACTAGATGAAATGCATTGTTGCTTTTACCAATGACGAAACGAATAATTCACCAATACACTCAATAAAGTAATTATTAAGACCGAATCTTCAACCTTCACATTGGTCTTATTGATCGAAATCGAATGAGATAATGGGTCATATAGACCGTAAAATCTGAATATATATATATTCCTAAGGGAATGATAATCTGAAGTGATGTAAATTCCCAGTACATATTAAATTTCAATGGGTTTTTAACTGATGCAACCCACTACGAGGAAATATACCTATGAATTGTCTACTGAATAGATCCACAACATACTGATAAATTTCATGTGAAACAAATATTCTACTGTAGATCAGTGGTAGGGCGCTCGCTTTAAAAAAGCCCTCCAAATGCCCTGGTACGGCCGAGGGTGTAGAGAGTCCACTCTCCCTCCCCAAATGCTCACACATGGCCATGCGTATATAGCCTCTGTCAGGCAAGTCCTGATCACTCCTTTCTCGAACCAAGGGTGTTGTTTACAAAAGTGAGAGGACGAAAAGCGAATTTTCGGCGCTTTAACCGGGTTGGTGGACATGGAGAGTCAATCTAGGGGATTGGAAAACCCTGACTCTAAACCAATGGTGTACATAGGCTCCAGTATCCTGTAGGAACAAATGGCGTATGAACCCACTGTTGGCCACCGGCTACCATGGGACTGCATTTTCCGACGTTGCTCCACTGCCTTGTGGATCAGACTTTCAGGTCGAATGCTCTGGGTGTGGCCCCCTAAGAAAACTACTTGCTTTGGTTTGGACACTTGGGCAGTATCACAGCCCTCACACATATCGAATGAGATTTGTGTGGCGCATATGTATTTGGTGCCTCCTTGTACCAATATCTATGTGTTAATATAAATCAGTAAATAAACTACTGTTAAACAACCGGATACAGAAGTATGGAAGAAAGAAGCCCACATATATAAAAAGCAGGTGGACATGTAAGACCATGTATAACCTTGAGATTTTAAATATTTGCCAAAATGAATATCAAAATTTGCAGTAAATTCTTGCAGTTATCTACTCAAGAATGTTGAATAGTTCGTTGATTTTTTTTCAAATTCTCTTGTGATTTTCTTAAGAACACCGATTAGTCAAAGTATTTTTAGTAGTTTTAAGGCATCTGGCGTTAAGTTAACCGGACCTCCTAATAAAGTGACTTTGTAATGTAAGTACAAATAGTTGTGTGATTGATAAACAACAATAGGAATGATAACATCTTCAACAAATGATATAGACTACTACCTTTAGGTATTAAGTAGCGTATAATGGCAAGACTAATTTATGGACGAGCAAATCATGAGCGTTTTAAAGATTTCAAGGTTACGGTGCCAACTTCAGTGCTTAATGCTAACGTACGATCGGTTTACAGGGAATTTGGTAGAAAACGTGATAATTGAGTGGCTATAACAAATAAAGCGGTGAGACTATAATTTGTGGACGAATCAATCAGGTATAAGATAATAGATCTCTGATTCTAACGCGAAAGCCTTTCATCTATTTGACTAAATAGATTTCTGGTATTATAACTTATGTTAATTCGTGATAAAAACCCCATATATAATTCCCAACTAAGGCAAATTACGACAATTATTGCGAACTGGATAATAAAAGCACCAGTAACACTGGCTGCAACCAGGTACTACAATATATTCGGATGTTTGCAGAGCGTACAGACTCCTATATAGGATTGGTTATGTATATCATGTCGTTATCCACAAGTGGCATTTTGTGCACTCAACAACCGGAGTGCAGCTAAACAATATTGAAGCTATGTGGTCGAGGCTGAAAGAGTATTTGAGACTTTATCATGACTCCAGAGGCCGATTATTCTGTAGCCGTATGGATAATTTCCTCTACTGCATGCATTACGATTTTAGAACCTCTGAACCTCTTTCCAACCTTGACAAGTTTTTGAACCATGTATAAGAAGTGTATCCACTTTATTTCTTTGGTTTTGTATAATATATTTTTACTCTATACTTACTGTTTGCTGATTGACTAATATTTCCGGAAGTCACTTAAGATTCGTTCAAAAGTCGTCCATAAATTAGAATCTCGCCGTGTGTAATAGATGAAAATCTATGCAATGAAACGAAAGTAAAATCGATGGATTATTTCTTAATCAAGGAATCTTAGACGAGAGTTCTATTATGTTAGTAGTTTAACTTTTGAAGATTAACAACCTATATCCTTGAGTAACACAGTATAAGAGGGCTATTTGTCAATAACAACAGTTAAAATCCTGTAAGATAAAAAATATATCATAGTGGATATGATTTAGTTTCATATATACCATTGAGACTGTCAGCTAATGAGGTAGGAACATATTCACATTACATTTTGAATTATTATTCTATTATGTGTCTTGCATATTTTACCAAGTGTACTACCAAGTGTATTTCATTTTTAGACTGATTGTGAAATAGTTTAAGTCACAACCTGTTATGACTTTGGATGTCTGACTTTTCTATCACGCGACTTATCAATCAATCAGGATCCGGCTTGCACAATCTTCGCACTATGCCAAACCAATGACGTTCAACCGGTATGAACAGTTTAGCGTCCTTATTGGTCCTATGTCCTTCTAGCCCCTCCACTTGAGTCCAGAACACAATACCAGCTTCTGTAATATGAAGCGAATCAGAGCAGATCGTTTAGTTAATAAAAGGATTAAACCAGAATATAATCATAATCGATATTGATTGTAGGAGAGTTGTTTTAACACATTAGCTGGTTAAACAAAAAGTCGGCTGGATAGAAGATATGAATTGCTACTTGTGTTGACCTCCTCGACTATACTTATTATCAGTGTCAATGATATAATATACAGTAATGTTTGGATTATTGCATGAAATCTAAACAATAAATGCATCCATTCACAATAAGAATATGACTTCATGCTATGTTATAGTAATCTATTTCTAACATTAAGCAAAATGATACATAAATTTAAACTCTGTACACAATTTCCCATGAATTTCCTTTTTAAAATATGTAAATCATTTTTACATTGTAAAACCTTTCGAAAACTAGTTTTTGCTTGTTTTTTTTTGCTTGTCTTTCATGTTTAAGTTACCGTAGTGCTGTATTGATTAGTTAGTATAGTGCACATGTACGTAATTTGTCCAGGAGCTCCTCTGGGGCTACTTTCGATCCCAAGCCCGGAGAAAGGAGGAGGGTTAAGCATGAGTTAGTGATCCCAACCCGTAGAAAAATAACTCGCTAAAAAATGGTCCACGGGTGAACTCAAATAAGCTGTAAGAAGCTCAGAAAGAGTCGAAGATATTCTATCCAATCATCTTTTGGATGAATATTCCAAAAACCCTACGTGTAGCTTCCCTATTCGACATATGCTAATAAACCCCTGTATGTGGATTGGATAACTATAATGATGATTTCGTTTTTACTAAAAACTATAAATACCTAACAGTTCTGTACCATAAATGACACTGTTAGGAATAACGTTCGTTCCACTTGTCTTCTGTGTTCTCATTCGCAACTTAGGAGGGTTCTAGCATTCGAGTACTCAAGTTATACGTGGTATATTATGAATCTGAACTCTAGATATAACAATTAGCATATGTGATCCTTGTATGGTTGTACTTGAAGGTTAATGAAACTAATGATACAATATAACTAAGATGTCAATGGTATCACTTAGAAACAAATTCATTACTTTCAACGTTGACAACTTATACAATAAGCACAAAAATTCAATAATAGTATTAAGAATATCTACTTATAGTTGTTTGTATTTAAGATTAAACTGATCAGTTCGAATCCCAGAAAAACTCTCATTACTTTATTTTAACTGTCTATATACCTGATTAACAAGTCTGAATTGAGATGAAATTTCTATACTAAGACCACACTATTATCATTCAACACTTCATATACAATCTTTTACAGTATAAACCTATTTCACTATTTAAGTTATTTTTATATATCAAATAAGCTTGAATTATTTTTTATGGTTAGCGTTGTTTTAGTTAGTTAGTTGGGTTCGCTAACCTCATGCCCAACCCTTCTCCTTTATCCGGGCTTGGGACCGGCAGCAGCCCAAGATAGGGGGTCCAGGCGGAGTGTTCAGATCAGTTGGCCAGACACTATTAGTAACAATCTACTGTGGGAGAAAACCAACCAGACCCCAGGAATGGAAGAAATCAGAAAGAACCACTGCAAGTGGATAAGACACAAATTGAGGAAAGCACCCAACAGTATCACAAGGCAAGCCCTCACATGGAATCCTCAAGGCCAAAGGGGTTGAGGAGGAAGATCAAAGAACATATTACGGCGAGAAATTTAGACAGACATGAGAAGAATGATTAAAAATTGGATAGAACTAGAAAGGATGGCTCAGGGCAGAGCGAGTTGTAGAATGCTGATCGACAGCCTATTCTCCATTGGGATTAACAGGTGTAAGTAGGTAAGTAAATTATATCCATCTAAATGCAAACACGAGCAACTTATTACATAAGAATATAAAATCCCTCTTTTTATAGAAGAATATTAAATTATTATTTTATATAGACATATTATACAATTCATCATAAATCATAGATTAGAACCAGTATCATTATAGTCTTTTATAAATTTTCTAAATGAAAAATTTAATCTCTCTACATAATTTATTTTTTAAAGCTCATTTATACTACTAACAAAATGAAGCAGTAGTATAAATGTTATACCGAAAAAGTATGCAAAAGGCTTATCATATGGTAAGAATACAGTGATAGGTTAAAACATATGTAGATATAGATATGTAAATATTGATCAACGTTCTATATTAGAAAACTGACGTGGTGCAGGACGATTGGAATAATTCACTTTTGACATTGGTCTTGTTGTTTGTTGTTGTCCTTGCTTATTATCCAAAATTACATTCGATATTGATCGATGATTATCTTTACGATCGATTTGTTCTTGTAATATATTTTCTAATTGATTAATACGTTGATCAGCTTCTCCATAAACTTGTTGAAGTTCTTGAATTCTTTTAATTGATTGTTTACTTTTAATGAATACTGTTTCTGGAATTTTAAAAAAAGAAAATAATAGTTCACTTTAAAACAAATTCATTCTGCCTGGAACCCCTTTTGGGGTTACTGTCGGTCCGAAGCCCGGATAAAAGGAGGAGGGTTGGGTATGGGGTTAGCAACCCTATCCCGTAGAAAACTAACTCGCTAAAGCAATGCTAACCAGAAAAAATAAAAATGTTTAAAAGAAAATGATAACATAAGTATTGAAGTGATATTGAATATGGGTAATGTTATTATGGTAAGATCTTGTAGTGTCGGTTATTATGTTATTAAGCCCATATACCACATTCTAGCTTTCGGACAGCTCATTCTATTCATTCTACTTGAGTCACATTCTGACCTTGTTATTTATTCGCTTATCAACCTTGGCTGTTTTTGTATGACCGCGTAGTTGTGTGTACATTTCTTATCCCATTACTCATCACATGTCTGTAACTTACTTTTGTGTAACTATAAATATTGATTAACTCTTGGTTAAATGGGAGTTGGCTTACCAGCCATCTCCACTCTGCGTCGTTTCGCTTCTCTCTATTCTATTCGCTTCATATACAAAATATATGTATTCACAAGTTCATTCTCGTTATTTGACTTATTTAATTCCTTTATTGACTAACACAATTAAAGTCGGTGATTATATACTAGGATAGGTGTTAACAAACATTCATACGATCTAATTGGAGTCAGATCCACGGGCCACTAAAGTGAAGAGCCCTTTCGACAACATCGTCCGACCTAAACGACAACAAAAATAACGGGCCTCCACGAAAATCTCATTTGCTTTATCAAAGATATTGATTTGAGCCTAAGATTATTTTTTTTGTCACTCATCAATTTCAACCTGGAAACTTTTGAAAATAAAGAAGCATATGACATTTGTTTCATCATAACGCTAGACTTCATATTTATGAATTAACCATTGATCTAACACATCCTTCTTTAGAGTTATGTGATAAGTTCCATATTTGTAGATCACTGTAATGAATAAGTCATTAGATGCTTCATTGAAATGAACTGCTGACAGTTAAAACATTCGAATGAATCTGTCTTTAAAGAATCGTTTCTCAGATTAGATCAATCCAAGTCAAAAATCAACATACAATCGAACAAATCTCTAAGATTAACCAATTAGAAATCAATCACACACCTACTTATCTTAGAATTATACTGTGAAATGGTGACTAATTGAATTCAATCACCTAGACACATTGTATGATTATTATGCTATGCTACAAATTAATTAAAGATAAAATTATGGTTTTGAAGTAACACACTCAATGTTGGATACAAAAGGCCTGATTTCGATCTTTGCCAAAGTCGTGTTGGTTCACTGATTTAGAGACTTGTAATACAACGAAAAAGTTTTCTTGTGCTTTCTATTTTTGGAATAGATTCACAGCCGAAGAGAATCGTTTCAACTTTACGATTGAATAAACCAATAAATCTTTGATAAAATACCGAATAAGTTTAAAGTATAGTGTTATTGAATAAATCCATAGTTTGATGTGACAAGTCTGTAAGCGATAAAGTGCGTTTGAAAGTTATTCAACAGTGGAGCTAATCCGTATAGGGTTGAGACAGATATTTACCACAGTTCAATGTAAGATGGTTGCGCAATTTCGTGGATTGTTTGAGGTTAGACATTAACACTGTTGAATGCCAGCTTAGTAGTCTAGATGTTAAGCGTTCACGCGTAAGACTGAGGGCGCTGGGTTCGAATCCCGTGGGCAGGAGCATGGATGCGCACTGCTAAGGAATCTCACAATTGGATGAAACGTCCATCCAGTACTTATAGGTTTCCAATGATGGTCTAAAATCGATCGGTTCATGATGTCAATCGATAACTTAATAATCTCCATAACCGCATACTGATGAGATATATTATTTCATAGTAAGAGATTTTGTATCCTTTGATAAGTGATAGAAACATTTCTGAAGTAGAAAAAACATTGTATCTTTTATGTTTGTTGATTGATTAGGTTGTCATGACAATTTTCAGACTGAGTTAAAGGATTTAGACAATACGATAAGATGAACCTTATCAGTACTATGATAAGGTACTATAGTGTATGAATTGTACGAGAATGTTCATTTCAATTCTATAATATTGAATAGCTAGTAGTAATACTACAGGAGGTTAGTCACGGCTCGGATAGCTCAGTGGTAACGTCTCTGACTGTGAAGCTGGGTGACACGAGATCGAATCCGCCAGGGAGCACCAGTTCCCTCAAGATTACAGGTACACCTTGCTGACGAGTGCCAAGTAGCACGAAACCCGGGTCCAGGGTTTCCTGTTGACTACCTTCAACCACCATCTAATCTCAATACATAGTGCCCGCAGTGTCGAGTCACCTAGACTGGTGGCCACATTGCAACATGATCGATAGCATTCGATCTGCACTAATAAGGACTAGACAAGCATGAGATTGATCACCACCCAGTGATCAATCAATTGTGATTACTCTTTAAACTATCTTTGATTTGATATACTTTCAATGGTGTAAGCATTATTTGTAGAAATTGCACTATCAAAGAACCTTAACTTCAATGAGCATAACTTCAATAATTCAATGTTAATGTATATGTATTACTAAGTATTCTGCCAGATGTAATGCCTGGATTTTGAAATTACAGAATAAGATTGATTAAATGATGAATTAATTGGAAACAAAATTGTATTTTTAATGTCTTGATGAGAATACTTAATCGATCTTCATTTTTAGCATTGAGTTAAATAGGTTGGAATGTTTATTGAAAGAACAGTATTAACATGCCCTGGTACGGCCGACGATGGGGAGAGTTAAATTTCCCTCTTGAAACGCTCTCACATGGCCACGCGTATATAGCCTCTGCCAGGGAAGTCCTGATCACTGCTTTCTCGCACCAGTGGTGTTGTTTACGAAATTGCGAGGAAGAAAAGCGAATATTCGATGCTTTAACCAGGTTAGTAGATATGGAGAGTTTACCTAGGGGAGTTGGAAAACCCTGATTTCAAAACCACTGGTGCATATGGGCTCCAGTATCCTGAAGAAAAAAATGGCGTATGAACCTATTGTTGGTCACTGGTTATCATGGGACTGTATTTCTTGACGTTGCTCCACAGCCTTGTGGATTAGACCTTTAGGTCAAAGGTTTCAGGTATGGCCCCCTAAGAAAATCACCTGCTTCGGTCTTGGCACCCGGGCAGTTTTCTTTATTCTTTAAAGGAATTAAGTTGAAAGATCGGTCCATTCAACAAACTCATTACAAATGTAAATGATAGCTATTTATCTTCATTAAAAACTAAAATAACACATTGATGTTTGTACAATAAATGACTAATTGTTCAAAAAAAGAAAAAGGAATACACCAACTTAATAATGATTATGCCTAGTCCGCCAATTTAAGTGGCTGTTTTCCATTCACTGAAATGATATCAAGTTTAATACAATACTACTACTACTCTTATCACATGTTATTATTACATCTAATTTCCTTAAAATGAATATTCTCGATGAGCTGAATGGTTTGGTCGTAGAGTTTTCATCAGTACAAACTTCAGATAGAAGTGAATTGTTCGAATTGGAGATACAACCAAAACGAAGAAGTAAACAATAATAGGTTTAAGGTCAACAACAACCAATCAACATCAAGGTCTACAGGTCAAGCTGTGAATCACATGTACAGAAATTCGAACATTCACAGATGATTGATCACTGGGTGGTGATCAATGTCATGAGTGTCAAGTTCTTATTAGTGACACCGGATCGAATCTTTCAGGGAGCATTAGTTCCCTTAAGATCACAAGTACACCTTGCTGACCAGTGCCAAGTAGCACAAAACCTGGATCTAGGGCTTCCTATTGACTACCACCAACCACCATCTAAAATGTGAACACTTCACGGCTAGACTCTAATTTATGGACGACCTTTGAACAAATCTCAAGTGACTTTCGGAAATATTAGTCAATCAGCAAACAGTAAGTATAGAGTAAAAATATATTATACAAAACCAAAGAAATAAGGTGGATACACTTCTTATACATGGTTCAAAAACTTGTCAAGGTTGGAAAGAGGTTCAGAGGTTCTAAAATCGTAATGCATGCAGTAGAGGAAATTATCCATACGGCTACGGTATAGTCGGCCTCTGGAGTCATGATAAAGTCTCAAATACTCTTTCAACCTCGACAAAATAGCTTCAATATTGTTTGGGTGCACTCCAGTTGTTGAGTGCACAAAATGCTACTTGTGGATAACGACATGATATACATAGCCAAGCCTATGTATGAGTCTGTACGCTCTGCAAACATCCGTATATATTGTAGTACCTGGCTGCAGCCGATGTTACTGATGCTTTTATTATCCAGTTCGCAATAATTGTCGTAATTTGCCTTAGTTGGGAATTATATGTAGGGTTTTCATCACGAATTAACATAAGTTATAATACCAGAAATCTATTTAGTCAAATAGATGAAAGGCTTTCGCGTTAGAATCAGAGATCTATTATCTTATACCTGATTGATTCGTCCACAAGTTATAGTCTCACCGCTTTATTTGTTATAGCCACTCAATTATCACGTTTTGTACAAAATTCCCTTTGAACCGATCGTCCGTTAGCATTAAGCACTGAAGTTGGCACCGTAACCTTGAAATCTCTCCATAAATTAGAGTCTCCTCCACTTCACTTCTATCTGAAGTTTTGCGCTGACGATTAAAAATCTTCACAACCAAAGCATGTAGATTCGAGAATAAAACTTCATCTACATCATCCACCTGAACTATAAATCTTCTTCATTATCTCAACAGATTCATTCATTCATCATCATCATCATCATCATCATTTAAATATGTAACTATATAGAGAAATTTCACACGAATAATAATAATAATATACACCTATATTCATTTCATGTTTAACTCTAAGTGTATTCTCACATTCTTTGTGTTTCTTGGTTGACCTGTTAAAACACGATTTATAATTCTCTTTGACAAATTCATTCTATTGCATAAACACTA